AACAACAACACGCATTCTAGCGTATTTTCATTAGAGCCATAAATGGGTTCTCTAAGAACATGCATTTTTCAACTATTCAAACAAACAGTATGATGACATATCCTAAGCTTTCGAGATTTTATTTCGACCTTGCAACAGCCTAAGAGGTTTTTCAACTACTCATACATATAGCATAACGCTATGTTGTTGATTCTATGATTCTAAATATATATTATGACAGTCCTAGCATGCATTTTTGTTTGAAATTGAAAATAAGGGAGTCAAGACTTACTTTCAAAACGTAAGAGTTTCGGTACCTACACAGACAGAAAAACACACGAAAGCAAGAGCAATGTGAGAACGGAACTCAATTTAAGAGCAAAAGGATAAAACATAGACTCAACATCCGCCTCCAGATGGGTTTGCTCACTTCATCTCGAAGCGTGTGCGCCTTCACTCGACGCTTGCTCTTTTCAGGCCTTTTTTGTATTCCATGCAAAGTTGGACTCAAGTGATTTCTGCGTCGTGGGAATGCTTTGATCGATATCTTTTGCACAAGCCAAATCTTGCTAGGTGAAATCGCCAAATTACAGAGCCAAGATTTCAATCAATATTGGGGCCTAAGGCTTTGGGTCTATGAATCGGCCGCTGTGCTTCAGTGACTTATCATTTTCAAAAATCATCATTCGCCATAACTTAGGGAACCAAAAACTTTGCTTTGATTCTGAGACCTCTAGAAACGATTTTGCGCTTTAGGGCCTTTCTTCGAGTATCAAAAGGTTTGACCGAAATTAGACTGGCAATTACTTTCTTATCTGACATCTGTTTAACCTAATTTTTGTTGCGTGGGAATGCTTGGATTAAAAATTGATCTGACAGATTCGGGTGGTAACATAGGTGTCAAAAGACTGGTCTTTGCTAGTAGAACCTATATTTGAGGCCTTAAATCTGTTTCGTGCCTTGTATCCCACGGATCAACCTTTAGTCAACGCGTGATCTGTCAACGGGTTGGCATGCAGAGTAGATGGAGCAACTACTGTACAGAGGATGGTGTCAGTAGAGTCTACTGGGCTGGGATACATTTTGATGAGACCGGATACGTGGCAATAGTTGCCATTGACTAAAGGCCTAGGGCGATCCCCCTTTGGCAGAGGAGTGGCCTGTTATATCAAAACCTAAAGGATGATGATACAAATAATCCCTAAACTTTAACTTAATGTACAATATGATTTATAAATTTTTAATTTATTCAATGTAGTCTCTCAACTTTAGTCTAATGTTCAATGTAGTCCTTGTACTTTTGGTACATGTTCAATATAGTCTATGAATTACATGAAAATATTTAATGTAGTTTCTGAATTTGAATTCATGAAAAGACTACATCGAACATTTTCATATAGTTCATGAACTAAATTAAACATGTATAAAAAATTCAGGGATGATACTAAATAAATTAAAAGTTCAGGTACCACATTGTATATTGGGTTAAAGTTTAAGGACTATATTGAACGAATTAAAAGTTCAAGGACCACATTACACATTGGGCCAAAGTTCAGGAACTGTTTGTGTCATTTTCCCAAACCATAATAAAGCTTGCTGGGAGATATGCTCCAAGACCGACGCTTTTGTTGACAGACAGTTAGTAGCTAGTGTCCGCCTTGGTCCTAGGTGCGCAATGGCCTCTCCCACTTTTGAGTTTGAAGCCCGATTTAAGCTTATCAAATAAACTCTCGCAGACAGACAAAAAAAAAAAATCTCACAATCATGTTCAATATAATTGTTTCATCGGAAAGGGAAAAATACCTTTCAAAGTATGGATTGATTGGATATAGCCCGATAAAGGTTGTGAAGGGTACTCTATTGATTAATAAACAGGAGATGTAAAAGGCAAGAAATCTAAATGTACGAATACCGAGAACAATCGTTGTCAACAATGTAAATGTATTGGAAATGTAATGATAAGCTGAAAGTAAAGGTGAGCAGCGTGTGTTCTTTGATCGATCATTTGCAAGATTACAATTTAGGTATTTGTACCTACAATTGGTAGTTACATAAATAGTGACTAAGAAATCAAACATGCCCTAGGACTCTGTTTGTTTCGCGAAAAATAAGTGATTATGAAAATATTTTTCTAAAAAATTGCTTGCATCGCATGAAATAATTAGCCAATAAAAAATATTTTCGTGGATGCTGGAACTATTTTTCGTTCGTTCATTTGTATGCGATATAAAAAATCATTTTTTGAAAAATATTTTTCAAATTATTTATTTCCGGAAAATAAACGGAGCCTAAATGACTTTTATTGTCTAGCAATGCTTATCTATAGACGGTTATAAAATCCGAGATCGTCGACAGCACGTTCTGACGATTACATCCTGTGCTTCTCCTCAATCGAGCAAAACTTGGTTTCCATCTGATGGCTTCATTATTGGGTCTTCTTGTTGTCTAGGTCTTAGCTTATTTGTAGTTCATAATCTAATAGAAGCGAGTTGATTGCGCTTGACTAGAGAGTCGACCGATTAACATGTACGTTAGAGTCTACAGGTTGTGGATACAGTCGACACTATTTTGTAATTTTTACTGCTCGAGTAATGAGCAACATATTACCCAAAAAATAAATAAATAAGAGAGCAGCAAACAGCACGGCCACCCATTTTTCTAATTGCATTTAACATGATATCATTATTATCTTTCTTTAAATAAAATAAAATTGACTATCGATTCCCTCTTATGTTATAGTTAACCCTTTATGTCTTTCGGAATCACAAAATTTCACTCAATAAATCCAAAATATCAACATGTCACTAATATAAAACCTAAATTGGCATGTACATTTTTTTATATTGGGAAAATAACACAATTGGTTCATGAACTTTGATTCAATGTGCAATGTCCCCAAACTCTTAATTTGTTCAATGAGATCCCTGAAGTATTGGTAAATGTTTAATCTAGTCTATAAACTATATAAAAATGTTCAATCTTGTCCTTCCATTACTTCAAGTTAAATGAATTTTACTAATGTGGTTTTCAATCCGTTAAGTTTGAATGGTAAACAAAAAAATTACATGTAATATTCATCTCAATGCAAAATACAATAGTCCATGTCATCAAATAATGATGGGCATTTTAACGCCCTAATTTTTTTTCCTTTTCTAAAGTAAATAGATAAAATGATGAACATATCGACTCATCGTTTTTAAAAAATCCAACTTCGCAAATAATAATTTACGACATCAAATAAATTCTGATTTGTTGTTTGAATAAAGGAAAGGACTATATTGAACATTTATCTACATTGAACAAATTAAAAGCGTATGGATCACATTGTACAATGAACCAAAGTTTATTGATCCTTTATGTCATTTTCCTTATTACATTTTGTGTTGGACCTCGTAGAATATATGATATCATAATGGTGCCCTCGTGCTAGAGAAGGTCATGGCGAGACGAGCTGTCTATAGCGTCACAGTAATATTACGAGGGTGGGAGACCGCGGGGACAACGTCTAAGAGAGTTGCTTTTCTTGAAATTGGAACTTACGATCATACTTTCTGAATTCTTTGTCAGGTGTAGCTTTTTCAAGTCGGCATCTTTCTCATGGTACATGGGTTTTACTCCATTAATTTCATTAATGTTTGCTTTATGCTCTGTATGTTTTCATGTTTTATATATGTACACACACATAAACAGAGTATTGAATTCTTACGGATTTCTAGAAAGATGTAAAGTAAGTTGACAATGCACTAGTGTGAAAGGAAAGGGCACTAAGGTAGAAAAGGACACACTGCAATCACTATGTTATTCCGGATGCTTACAAGAAAGAAGAAAAATGTAAAGTTGACTCTCCAAGTCGACGTAATTTGTCTTGGTACAGAAGTATCCTTACAGAAGAGAATTTGAACTAGATAAAAGTTTCACCATTCTGCCATCATCACTGTCACTCAGCACTAGAAGGTGGCAAGTCTCCTCAGGTCAATTCGGAATAAACTTACAAGTCAGCTTGTCGTTTTTCCTGTGTGCTATCCGCTCGCATATTCGTCGAGTTCTTTTTAACATAAGAAGAGGATGCAAATACGAAGGCTCGATTGTTTGGAGGCTCATTTAACACCCTTTAAGTCTAGCTAACTAGTTGCGTCCAGGTCTTTGATTTGTGCAGGTGAGCATGACCCATAGCAGTTCGCACGCATTTTGTGAATTTTGAACTGGTGGCCTTTTTCGACCAAAAAAAAAGGGACTGGTGGCCTTCAATACCTGAGTTAATAGTTTTTGACGCCCAACTAACTATGGGTTCGGATGCATCTAGTTACTCTCTACAAACTTAATATATTGCCATCATATTCTTTTAGCATGGGACATACTGATCTCTCAAACCACGCTTTAGCATGTAGAAGTTATAAATTTGATTGCTAACCCGCAAAATTTACAAAAGCGCTAACTAGAGGAGTATTTGCCGGGTCGCAACTGTTGATTGTCAAGTGATCTCGAGTCTAATAACCAAAGATCAAGTGATTAGAATGCCTTTGCCTTAGAGCTAGGGAGGTTCTCAATGACCAACGGAAAAGTTGGGATGTGACGCTTTGCCGGGTCCTAAATTTGCCTAGTCGTTCTAGTAATTGATTAACCTTTGAACATGTGGTCAAACCTCTGTGTGACATTCTTTCCCCATAATTATGTGCGTTCTCTATGATTCAAAGCTAATAACCACAAAAATATAAGAACCCCCAAAATGGAAGACCAGTTCACATGATGTCTGTTGTCTCTTATTGCGCCTCTCCCAACATACATTTGGTGGAAAATGCACAATCCCAACATAACATCAAGCACTAATTCTCTTTTGTAGAATAATCTCTCTCTCTCTCTCTCTCTCTCTCTCTCTCTCTCTCTCTCTCTCTAAAGTTACAAGCAGAACAAACTCTCGTGCCGTCTTACATGGGCAACTGATGGACAAGCCCTTTTTGGGTTTGGTTCTTCTTGATTAAATTCCTGTGGTCGTCCTAAATCAGCCATTATTTTTCTTTTCGAGCCAACAAGTATCTTCCCTGGTTGTCTTGATTTCACACCCATAAACCATTTGTCTTTGCTCCCTCTTCTTTGGCCTATAAATACCCCCCACATGCATAGTTCGCTTCTGTGATTCTCTCAGCTCTTGCCCAAAATTAAAAGTAAAAGCATCCAACTCCCAGAAATTAAACATGGCCAAGATGGTTGCTCTGTTCTTGATGATGTCTCTCCTCCTCTGCTCAACTAAAGCCTTCGGGGGGCGACCCGGATCAGCCTTTCCTCAAGAAAACCCCATGACATCTCACCACGAGGTTAGTTGGTTTTGTCCAGAAGCTTTCATATGAGAATTGAAAGGAACGTATGAACCGAGTGATGTTCATTTTTGGTTTTCTTGTTCCTTCTTTTCTTGTTTTCAGAGGGTCGAGGCGGAACACGTTGAGGGGGTTGAAGAGAGCTGCGAAGGAGTTGGCGAGGAGGAGTGCTTGACGAGGAGGACTCTCGCTGCTCACCTCGATTATATTTACACTCAAAAGCAGAAACCATGAAAACATTAGTTGGATTCTTGTGATACATATGTAATACTTTGGTATATATTAAGAAAATCACTGTCTTCATCGAGTAATTGCCCCCTGTTTAGCTGAATCTTTGTGTTCTTCTTCAGTCATCTTCTCGTGTTTCATCGTGTTTGGTGCAACGATGGGATCAATTCTATGAATCTAGCGTTCGACTTCTGCTCGAATTTTTCTTCTCTCTGGGCCTTCTCTGGTTGAAGCTACCGTTGTTTGAGGGATCATATAAATGTTTGATAAGCTTTTGAACTGAAATTTCTCAAAATAACATCAAAGGCAGCTTCCGATATTTTTCTATTGGAGTAATTTGTGATGGTTTGAATTCCGATATGGCTTATTCCTTGCTGTTCAACCCAATTTACACGTGAAGAGAGGACGGACGTCAAAATTTTTGCATATCACTGATAATCTATTCCGAAATTTAAGCTTTTGGGCCGGTACTTAATTAATTGATCTAGAAACTTCATAAGAAAAATTATGTTCCGTGTGCACCAAGAACAGCAATGAAATTTAGCTAAAACTGGCCAATGCCCCATAGCCAGCATGTGACTACAAGCCCACCAAAAGCGCGGTTATGAAACATGCTGGTTCATCACACCAACCAACTCATCCTCTGTTCTGCTCAATAGTTATTGACCTCCGAATAAATATAGTCTACGAACAGAACCAAAAGGGGGACGATGGATTTCAATCTTTTTTGTGGGTTTCATACTGTTTCATCTGTTTCCACACGTTCCGAATTGAATGTAAGCAACCACTTAGATTGATTCTGGTTGAAAAAAGATAATGAAGTCGCAGCAGAGGAAGACGGTTGACAGTTGTGTGTGAACGTGATTCCTGGCCTCATTGTGTGGTAAGATGGCGTGTGCGTGCGTGCGTGCAGAGCCGTCGACATAAATGTAGAGAAAGAGAGAACTCTTGGAAACTGTTTGTGTTTTCAGGACTAAAGATATGAGATTTCCATGTGCTTATGGACGGGCATGCGAGCAATTTGAAGGGACATGACAGAAGGAGTAATCCAAGAAAATGTAGGGTTGATAATAAGAAGAGAGAAAAACCAGGTTTTACATGCAAGAAAATAGCATCCCTAGAAAGGGTCCATGCCATAAAAATAGAATATCATTTTTATTTAATTTAGGGGGCATGAGTGCTATGACAAAGTAGCGTTGCGATGGTGCTAAAGAAAACTGAGATATTAATAATATGAAGTGCTTATTTGATCCTTTTAGTTTGGTTGAATCTGCGAGTTAGCTCTTTAACTTTTCCAATCAAGTCTTTTAATTCTTCCGATTCATGCAATCGAGTTCTTTTAATCACTTATGGTTACTAGTACCGTGAGAAATCGATATCCTTTTAGAGAGAGACCCTTGTTTAATCCTCATAATTGATAGACATCTCTACATATCTCGTGATAAATATTGCTCCCTTTCTCTATCTCATGTTTCTTTTTTATTTAATTCTTCTTATTTTCTCGTTCTAAATATTTTGCCACCTCGTTGTTACGTCACAATGACCAAATAACTTAATTGCATAAATTTAAGAAAGTATAACGACTTGAATGTAAGAAAAAAAAGACCTAATTGTGCATACATTCAAACTTATATGATCATATCTCAATTTAACTAGTCCCCCCTTCGATGCAATGACATTTACTTGTAGGTTTTTACAGACTACTAAATCTTACACGAAGTCCAGAGTCACCGAACTTTTTGACATGACATAACACATCTCATGTATGCACGTTCACATTTGCGATTAAATCTTTGACAGTAGTAAAATGAGCAAAGATAGAATAAAACTGAGCAACCGAAAGCGTAATAAAGACAACTAAAGGGCTTTGACAAAAATAAAAGTGTTCTTCGCTAGATACTAGGGATTTGCTTTCTTCACAAAAGTGTTTTCTTCCTCGTTACTTACCCAAAATTTTCTTTAATTTTTTTCTCATTTCCGTTGCTTGCTGCCTATACTAATAACTATAGAGTGGGTCCAAACCCTAAAGATAAAGACTTGCCCCTTACGATCAGTTCCTTTCTAGTTTCTCCAATGCCCCAAGAGTCAATCCTTGCACATTATTTTTTTTTGGTAAGGTCAATCCTTGCACATTATTGTTGTCTATATATGTTAAGAGTGGACCCATCAAATCGTTCGAAATAATTGTTACGTATACTCGGCTGGTGTGACCTCAATACACATGAACCATTAGATTATGTGGATCTCACAAAGGTTCACATATAATGACAGCCCCCATGCATTGAGCGCACATATTTAGGCATTGTACTATTAACCAATCCTGAGTTGCAGTAGCAAAAAATGCGAGAAAAAAATGCCATATGCATCTATAAACTATTTGGTTGCCCAAATAATTGAGAGTAAACTATATTTTGATGTCCTTAGACATACCGAAATAACACATATAACTCAATTTCTAGCACTAGTCACCCAATGTTCTATATCAAAAAGCCCTCATTGGTGGACCCTTGTGCGTGCTTGCCTTCTTTGGTAAAAGAGGCACACACACCAAAAAAAAAGTGGCACGCAACAAAAAGAGAGTAATGCAAACTAACAGAAAGAGAGCGGCCACTTGAACCTATCGGCCATGAGCGTCCGAAAGAGGTTTGGAATCTCACACCGGCGTTTTGGATCATACTATTAGTAGTCAAACATAGATGCTCTAGACCAAATCTTTCGAACATCAAGAAAACACCATACATGGATTTGTAGTATTCTGACTTAGCTTCTTATATATGGTTGGTACCCTTCACTTTCTCCTCGACATGGTCCAACATTAGCACTCTCTAGCCTTTGACTGGCCTTTTCCTCTTTATCTATACGTGGCACGGGGATACCCCTTGTAAGGTTTAGCAAACTGATGTTCATTACCAATGTTTGAGTGCTTGGCTATTGCTCTCTCCAACCATGAGATGGCGAACCTTATCTCCTTCAAGCCCTCACATCACAATTATGTAATGACTCGGGAAAGTCTGCATCACCTTTTTCGTGGATAGCTAGTTTTTTATTATTTTTTAATTTTTGGTAAGTGATGGAGTTTTATAGTGATTAGTGGTTGCTAGTGGTTGAAGGTGCTACAGGAAATGCTACATTAAGGAATTGTTGGTAGTGGAACAGCCTTTTGGAGAGTGCACTTGGGGTGTCCTCATTGGAAGTGCATCCTGATAATGACTCTTTAAAACCACTAATTATCATACATAAATAGAGAGAGAGAGAGAGAGAGAGAGAGAGAGAGAGAGAGAGAGAGAGAGAGAGAGAGAGAGAGAGAGAGAGAGAGAGAGAGAGAGAGAGGATACTTGTGTTTAGCCATGGTGTTCTTGTCCTAGAGTTGTTGGTATGTAGTCCTTACACCCATCTCATTGTAATGTGTTCTGCGTGGTGAGGTGCAGGACTACAAACTCAAATACCTCCAAGAGTTAAATTTCAGGGCCCAAACCACTTAGACATCTTACAGAATTCTACAGAACTTATAGAATCAATGGACTGGCGTGCTAACTAGTAAGGTAGGTCTCAAGGTGGGTGTTGATGCTTTGTTCCAAAGAATTCTTATAAAGAAGTGAGTGAAGTTATGTTGGGGAAAATATCAACATGAATCAGTAGAATAATGAAGTCAGACTTGAGGCGTGATGACACTCTTTTTAAGGAATTATTTGCCCCACAACATGGTTACCGGTAAAAATCCTCCAGAATACAATAAAGTCTCGAATGAGAATACCGGATATCAATTCTAGTACTTCTCCAGGATCTCTCAAGGGAAACAATTGGAAACTATGGCTGTATATCTTTAGAAGGAAAATGAAAATTATAAGTTCAAAATAGTGAACAAAATTATTGAATAAATATATTTGAACGGATATAGTCTTTCAAAGATGTAGAAGTTATGTCCGAACAGGCACAATCTTCCAAAGGTTTAGAAGTTATGTCCGAATAGGCACAATCTTTAAAGGTTGTAAGAGTGCATAATAACCGTTAGGCAAAAATATTAAATTTGAAATTAAATAATTAAAAAATAACCATTACTCTATTATGAACAGTCACATTGTTTCAATATAACACAATGGTTATTTTATAATTACAAATCCAAATTTTAAAAAAATAATTATTGTTTAGTGCCAAGTCTAGTCCACGTGCGCACTCACATCTTTTCGATGTGGAGCAAGGCACCTCGTAGTTTGTTTGAAAACAAACTACCAACAAGTTATCTATTGTTTTCAAGCAAAGTGGAAATTTTGAGTTGGGGAATTGGTGTAAAACTTGAAAGGGAGTATTCTGTTCCACAAGTTTTAGCAAAAGTTTCCTTTGGATGTGACTTTCAATAACGCATTTGCTATTTAAAGGAAATCTGAAGAGTAGTAGGAGTCGACACCCCCGTTCTCTGGTCATGCCAGATGTTAACCGAACCGGTTTCTGCACGTGCCACATGCCTTAACTTTACACTTACCTTAAGTTTACAAGTGCAAAGATAGTCCTAAAGTTTACTTGCGCTGTTTGTGTGAAATATTTACGGAATCATTGCATGCAGTATCTTTGAGAGGGTAGTTTGCTCCTTCTCCGTCAATATCGTTCTGCTGTTCGCAAAAATTTGCTTACAGTTGACACTACGATCAATGCGCGCTTCTTGTAGCTGTAATGACTGTCTGTGATAATATATTTCTTGCATTGCATCTCCTTACCTGAACAGGATTGAACCGATTATGCTTCTAGCTTGTGCTTTCCTTGCCGGCGATGTTCATAGTGCTTCTATTGCATCTTTAGGATAAGTCGTGTTCTTTACTGGTGATGTTTGTGTTGAAAGCAGAAGCAGTAACAAAAATATTGATTACAGCTTCCATTGCGTCATTGATTTTGTTTATTATCACATTGCATTTCTTGAACTTTGAGATCACAATAACAGTCGTAGAAAATAGAGTTTGGTGGTTGTGACCTCAGTTTCCTCACATTTTCTGAATAGGGGGAGAGACTCGACATCCTGTGAGAAGGAATCTTCTTCCATTAGAGTGAAATATCTTTGAAAAAATTGAGAAGTTAATCGCTCGAA